GTACGTCATGTAGTTTATAGCTAGTACGTTAGTGTACGTCATGTAGTGTGTAGTGTATAGCTCCTACGTTAGTGTACGTCATGTAGTGTATAGTGTATAGCTCGTACGTTACTGTACGTCATGTAGTGTATAGCTAGTACGTTAGTGTACGTCATGTAGTTTATAGCTAGTACGTTAGTGTACGTCATGTAGTGTATAGTGTACAGCTAGTACGTTAGTGTACGTCATGTAGTGTATAGTGTATAGCTAGTACGTTAGTGTACGTCATGTAGTGTATAGTGTACAGCTCGTACGTTAGTGTACGTCATGTAGTGTATAGCTAGTACGTTAGTGTACGTCATGTAGTGTATAGTGTATAGCTAGTACGTTAGTGTACGTCATGTAGTGTATAGCTCGTGCGTTAGTGTACATCATGTAGTGTGTAGTGTATAGCTAGTACGTTAGTGTACATCATGTAGTGTAAGTGTACAGCTAGTACGTTAGTGTACGTCATGTAGTGTATAGCGTATAGCTCGTACGTTAGTGTATGTCATGTAGTGTATAGTGTATAGCTAGTACGTTATTGTACGTCACGTAGTGTATAGCTAGTACGTTAGTGTACGTCATGTAGTGTATAGCTAGTACGTTAGGGTACGTCATGTAGTGTATAGTGTATAGCTAGTACGTTAGTGTACGCCATGTAGTGTATAGTGTATAGCTAGTACGTTAGTGTACGTCATGTAGTGTATAGTGTATAGCTCGTACGTTAGGGTACGTCATGTAGTGTATAGCTAGTACGTTAGTGTACGTAATGTAGTGTGTGGTGTATAGCTAGTACGTTAGTGTGCGTCATGGAGTGTATAGTGTATAGCTAGTACGTTACTGTACGTCATGTAGTGTGTAGTGTATAGCTCGTACGTTAGTGTACGTCATGTAGTGTATAGTGTATAGCTGGTACGTTAGTGTACGTCATGTAGTGTGTAGTGTATAGCTAGTACGTTAGTGTACGTCATGTAGTGTATAGTGTACAGCTAGTACGTTAGTGTACGTCATGTAGTGTGTAGTGTATAGCTCGTACGTTAGTGTACATCATGTAGTGTATAGTGTATAGCTAGTACGTTATTGTACGTCATGTAGTGTATAGTGTATAGCTCGTACGTTAGTGTACGTCATGTAGTGTATAGCTAGTACGTTAGTGTACGTCATGTAGTGTATAGTGTATAGCTAGTACGTTAGTGTACGTCATGTAGTTTGTAGTGTATAGCTAGTACGTTAGTGTACGTCATGTAGTCTGTAGTGTATAGCTAGTACGTTAGGGTACGTCATGTAGTGTATAGTGTATAGCTAGTACGTTAGTGTACGTCATGTAGTGTGTAGTGTATAGCTCGTACGTTAGTGTACGTCATGTAGTGTATAGTGTACAGCTAGTACATTAGTGTACGTCATGTAGTGTGTAGTGTACAGCTAGTACGTTAGTGTACGTCATGTAGTGTATAGTGTATAGCTAGTACGTTAGTGTACGTCATGTAGTGTGTAGTGTATAGCTAGTACGTTAGTGTACGTCATGTAGTGTAGAGTGTATAGCTAGTACGTTAGTGTACATCATGTAGTGTATAGCTAGTACGTTAGTGTACGTCATGTAGTGTATAGTGTATAGCTAGTACGTTAGGGTACGTCATGTAGTGTATAGTGTATAGCTAGTACGTTAGTGTATGTCATGTAGTGTGTAGCTAGTACGTTAGTGTACTTCATGTAGTGTATAGTGTAAAGCTCGTACGTTAGTGTACGTCATGTAGTGTATAGTGTATAGCTCGTACTTTAGTGTACGTCATGTAGTGTATAGTGTATAGCTAGTACGTTAGTGTACGTCATGTAGTGTATAGTGTATAGCTCGTACGTTAGTGTACGTCATGTAGTGTATAGTGTATAGCTCGCACGTTAGTGTACGTCATGTAGTGTATAGTGTATAGCTCGTACGTTAGTGTACGTCATGTAGTGTATAGTGTATAGCTAGTACGTTAGTGTACGTCATGTAGTGTATAGTGTATAGCTAGTACGTTAGTGTACGTCATGTAGTGTATAGTGTATAGCTAGTACGTTAGTGTACGTCATGTAGTGTATAGTGTATAGCTCGTACGTTAGTGTACGTCATGTAGTGTATAGTGTACAGCTAGTACGTTAGTGTACGTCATGTAGTGTATAGTGTATAGCTCGTACGTTAGTGTACGTCATGTAGTGTATAGTCTATAGCTAGTACGTTAGTGTACGTCATGTAGTGTATAGTGTATAGCTAGTACGTTAGGGTACGTCATGTAGTGTATAGTGTATAGCTAGTACGTTAGTGTACGTCATGTAGTGTGTAGCTAGTACGTTAGTGTACTTCATGTAGTGTATAGTGTATAGCTCGTACGTTAGTGTACGTCATGTAGTGTATAGTGTATAGCTTGTACGTTAGTGTACGTCATGTAGTGTATAGTGTATAGCTAGTACATTAGTGTACGTCATGTAGTGTATAGTGTATAGCTCGTACGTTAGTGTACGTCATGTAGTGTATAGTGTATAGCTCGTACGTTAGCGTACGTCATGTAGTGTATAGTGTATAGCTAGTACGTTAGGGTACGTCATGTAGTGTATAGTGTATAGCTCGTGCGTTAGTGTACGTCATGTAGTGTGTAGTGTACAGCTAGTACGTTAGTGTACGTCATGTAGTGTATAGCTAGTACGTTAGTGTATGTCATGTAGTTTATAGCTAGTACGTTAGTGTACGTCATGTAGTGTGTAGTGTATAGCTAGTACGTTAGTGTACGTCATGTAGTGTATAGTGTATAGCTCGTACATTAGTGTACGTCATGTAGTGTGTAGTGTATAGCTCGTACGTTAGGGTACGTCATGTAGTTTATAGCTAGTACGTTAGTGTACGTCATGTAGTGTATAGCTAGTACGTTAGTGTACGTCATGTAGTGTATAGTGTATAGCTAGTACGTTAGTGTACGTCATGTAGTGTATATTGTATAGCTAGTACGTTAGGGTACGTCATGTTGTGTATAGTGTATAGCTAGTACGTTAGTGTACGTCACGTAGTGTATAGTGTATAGCTAGTACGTTAGTGTACGTCATGTAGTGTGTAGTGTATAGCTAGTACGTTAGTGTACGTCATGTAGTGTATAGTCTATAGCTAGTACGTTAGTGTACGTCATGTAGTGTATAGTGTATAGCTAGTACGTTAGGGTACGTCATGTAGTGTATAGTGTATAGCTAGTACGTTAGTGTACGTCATGTAGTGTGTAGCTAGTATGTTAGTGTACTTCATGTAGTGTATAGTGTATAGCTCGTACGTTAGTGTACGTCATGTAGTGTATAGTGTATAGCTCGTACGTTAGTGTACGTCATGTAGTGTATAGTGTATAGCTAGTACATTAGTGTACGTCATGTAGTGTATAGTGTATAGCTCGTACGTTAGTGTACGTCATGTAGTGTATAGTGTATAGCTCGTACGTTAGCGTACGTCATGTAGTGTATAGTGTATAGCTAGTACGTTAGGGTACGTCATGTAGTGTATAGTGTATAGCTCGTGCGTTAGTGTACGTCATGTAGTGTGTAGTGTACAGCTAGTACGTTAGTGTACGTCATGTAGTGTATAGCTAGTACGTTAGTGTACGTCATGTAGTTTATAGCTAGTACGTTAGTGTACGTCATGTAGTGTGTAGTGTATAGCTAGTACGTTAGTGTACGTCATGTAGTGTATAGTGTATAGCTCGTACATTAGTGTACGTCATGTAGTGTGTAGTGTATAGCTCGTACGTTAGCGTACGTCATGTAGTGTATAGTGTATAGCTAGTACGTTAGGGTACGTCATGTAGTGTATAGTGTATAGCTCGTGCGTTAGTGTACGTCATGTAGTGTGTAGTGTACAGCTAGTACGTTAGTGTACGTCATGTAGTGTATAGCTAGTACGTTAGTGTACGTCATGTAGTTTATAGCTAGTACGTTAGTGTACGTCATGTAGTGTGTAGTGTATAGCTAGTACGTTAGTGTACGTCATGTAGTGTATAGTGTATAGCTCGTACATTAGTGTACGTCATGTAGTGTGTAGTGTATAGCTCGTACGTTAGGGTACGTCATGTAGTTTATAGCTAGTACGTTAGTGTACGTCATGTAGTGTATAGTGTATAGCTAGTACGTTAGTGTACGTCATGTAGTGTATATTGTATAGCTAGTACGTTAGGGTACGTCATGTTGTGTATAGTGTATAGCTAGTACGTTAGTGTACGTCACGTAGTGTATAGTGTATAGCTAGTACGTTAGTGTACGTCATGTAGTGTGTAGTGTATAGCTAGTACGTTAGTGTACGTCATGTAGTGTATAGTGTATAGCTAGTACGTTAGTGTACGTCATGTAGTGTATAGTGTATAGCTAGTACGTTAGTGTACGTCATGTAGTTTGTAGTGTATAGCTAGTACGTTAGTGTACATCTTGTAGTGTAGCGTGTATAGCTAGTACGTTAGTGTACGTCATGTAGTGTATAGTGTATAGCTAGTACGTTAGTGTACGTCATGTAGTTTGTAGTGTATAGCTAGTACGTTAGGGTACGTCATGTTGTGTATAGTGTATAGCTAGTACGTTAGTGTACGTCATGTAGTGTATAGTGTATAGCTCGTGCGTTAGTGTACGTCATGTAGTGTATAGTGTACAGCTAGTACGTTAGTGTACGTCATGTAGTGTATAGTGTATAGCTCGTACGTTAGTGTACGTCATGTAGTGTATAGTGTATAGCTCGTACGTTAGTGTACGTCATGTAGTGTGTAGTGTATAGCTAGTACGTTAGTGTACGTCATGTAGTGTATAGTGTATATCTAATGTACTGGAATACGTCATTTAGTGTTCGTGCGTGACATTATCGGCGATAACATTAGCAACGATGCCGATGATGTCACGGCCAGTGCGCCTGTGACATCATCATCATCATCATCTACACCTGTGACATCATCGTCGTGTCTCCCCCCCCCCCCTAAACGCCTCAGGCTCTGTGTCGGCCCCCGCCGCTGAGGGCAACGTGCGCGTGGTGAACGAGTCACTGTGCAGGCAGGCATGGGGCAACTTCACCCGCGCGATGATGATGTGTGCAGCCAAGCGTCAGGGTTGGGCCAGTAGCTGTCAGGTGACCCCAACACTACACCGTACACTACACTATACACTACACGATACACTACACTATACACTACACGTTACACTGCACGATACACGACACTACTATACACTACACTATACACTACACTATACACTACACTATACACTACACTATACACTACACTATACACGACACTACTATACACTACACTATACACTACACTATACACTACACTGTACACTACACCACACACTACAATATACACTATACTATACACTACATTATACACTACACTATACACTACACTACACTAAACACTGCACGATACACGACACTATACACTACACTATACACGACACTACTATACACTACACTATACACTACACTATACACTACACTATACACTACACTGTACACTACACCACACACTACAATATACACTATACTATACACTACATTATACACTACACGATGCACTACACTATACACTACACTACACACTACAATATACACTACACCACACACTACACTATACACTACACTATACACTACACTACACTATACACTACACTATACACTACACTATACACTACACTATACACTACACGATAAACTACACTATACACTACACGATACACTACACTACTATACACTACACGATACACTACACGATACACTACACTATACACTACACTATACACTACACTACACACTACACTATACACTACACTATACACTACACTATACACTACAATATACACTACATCATACACTACACTAAACACTACACTATACACGACACTACTATACACTACACTATACACTACACTACACTAGACACTACACTAGACACTACACTATACACTACACGATACACGACACTATACATACATACAACAACAACCGCCATTCGCCACTAAGTGGCGGTGACGTCACCACGATGCTTGTGCCAGGCTATGTGCACCCTGAGGCCACGTGAATTGTCGAACGCCCGCTGGCAGGAGGTCACGGGGCAGACCCAGGTGCCACGGGTCGACTGACTGAGATGACTGGCTGATGCACCACCTGTGCCCCCTGCTGTGCCAACCTGCTGTGCTTTAGCCACGCGACACTCCGCTCGTTGTTGTGAGCGTCGCTCCTCCGCCCTCCGTTGTTGTTGGAGGGCGACTGCCTCCAACTGCCCAGTAGCTGCATCCTTCACGAGCCTCCTCCACAGAGGCCGATCTTGACACCGCTGGTACCGGTCATCGGCAAGTCCACTCAGCTCCAAGTCCTCCTGTACCACGTCACTCCATCTCTTCTCTAGCCCGTGCCGCGCCCATTTAGCCCCCTCGATCCGGCCGAACAAAAGCTGTTTCGGCATGCGGTGGCTGGGCATGCGGGCTACATGACCCAGCCAACGCAGCCGTGCCTGCCGGAGGAGCTCACCGATGGGACCTTGCCCAGATCTTTCAAGGATTTGTGAGCTCCTCACACAATCCAGCCTGGTTAAACCCAGGATGGATCGTAGGCAGGCCAGCCTAAATGTTTCTAACCGGCAAAGATGTTCCATTAGGGGGGTCCACGTTTCGCAAGCATAGAGAAGGGAGGGAATGACCGTGGCTGAGAAGACCTGAAGCTTCGTGCGGAGCGACAGACCAGGCAGCTTCCACACAGCGTTACGCAACTAAAAAAATACATTGTCGCTCGACTGATTCGGAGTGAGACCTCCGCTGCCAAACCGGAGCCGGTCATGAGCACACTGCCCAGTTATGGGAAACTCTCCACTCGCTCCACAACTGCCCCATCACCGACTGGGAGTTGTGGGGGCGGAGTGTCCGATCGTACAAAATACTCAGGCGGGTGCTTAGTTTTGGTGGGGCTGATGGTAAGGCCCCACCTCTTAGTGGCACGCTCCAGTTTCAGCAGAAGTGTCTCCAACTCCTCCTCTGAATGAGCAGCAATTACCAAATCATCGGCATACATAACGTGGTTGAGCAATATGGAGCCATCCCTTGACCGCACCCGGGCATCGATCAGCCTTCCATTATATCTGTACCAAATGGAAATTCCCCCGGTACAGCTATTAAAGGCTTCACGAACTACGTGCTCAAAATATATGTTAAATAATGTGGGAGCCAGAGGACATCCCTGTCGCACCCCAAGGTGTACAGGAAATGGCTCTGTCTCCCGGCCACGTAGTATTAACCAGGGCCGCTCACCATCATGAAGGTCCTTAATGATCGTGAGCAGAGGGTCAGGGACTGTGAAAGCACAAAGAACAACCCAGAGCCCAGGCCTACTGATAGTATCATAGGCCTTGCCCAGGTTAATAAAGCAGAGATGAAGGTCTTACTGGAATTCCCTACACCTCTGCTGTAGCAGACGGACAGAAAATATGGCATCTGTGCAAGACCGCCTTTACCTGAAACCGCATTGGGGCTCTGCAAGCCTCTCCTCAGCGTGCCTAGCAAGGCGATGTTGAATAATCCTCGCCAGTATCTTTCCTGGCACACTGAGGAGTGAGATGCCCCTTAGTTGTTACAGTCTGTAAAGTCCCCCTTCTTAAAGAAGTGGACCACTAGGGCATCTTTTCAATCCTGCGGAACCCGTCCAGTGGTCCAGACTGTTGTTATGATGTCATGCAGGGCAGTCTGTGCACAAACGCAACCCTCCCTCAGCATTTCCCTTGCGAGATCATCTCTGCCCAGTGCCTTTCCTAGTCTCAGACTCTGGATCGCCTTCAGTACTTCCTCAAGTGATGGCACCTCAACCAGCCACTCACAGGGGGTGACTTCTTCCAATATTTGAGGCACCGCAGCCTCAGCAGGGTCATCCCCACTTTGTGCAACGATGTTTTCCTGGCTGAGGGATTTCCCCTCTCCCAGGACCTCACAGAAATGCTCAGCAAATCTGCCAACCTGTTCCTGGAGGTCAGAGATTGGATCTCCTTTTTTTCCCCTTGTGATGGTAATAGGTGTGGCACTGCAGGTTACTTTTCTGATGGAGTTAAATAGGGATTTGTGATCACGGGCCACTGAGGCAGACTCCATCTCCTCAGCAACCCGCGACCACCATCCATTCTTGCAGCGCCTCAAGGCTCTCCGAACCTCCGAGTGAAGGCTGCGGTAAGACTCCTCATTCTCTGACGTGGGATGCTGTAGACGATGAGAGTGGGCCTGTCGGTTTTTCTCAGCCAGCCTGAACAGCTCCTCTGTCAGCCAGGGTCTCCGGAGAGATCTGGACCGCGTACCCAAAGCAGCCATTGCAGCTGCATGAGTCACAGTCCTAAACCTTGCCCATTTACCCTCGCCATCAGGAGGAGTGTGGGACGATGCCAACCCCTGCCACAAGCGATGATGAAATTCTCGCTTCCAACTTTCATCAGCTAACTGAGACCAGGCCACCTTAGGTTAGAATGGGGTCCTGGGTGTATACCCACCACTGGAGTGGAAGAATGGCAGGCGCATCTTACAGATCACAAGTCGATGGTCAGAGGGCAGATCAGCTCTACGGTAGGTCCTGGTGTCAAGGACATGGGCCTGCATCCGTTGATCCATCACTATGTAGTCCAGCAGATGTTCTTGCTTGGGCCCGGCATGCATCCATGATGTTGTGTGGATGCGCCGATGCCGGAACAGCGTGTTGGTAATTACAAGCCCATGGGCTGTACACAAATCTAGCAGCCTCCTACCGTTGTTATTGAGCTGATCTGGCCCATGCCTTCCAATCACTCCAGACCAGGTTCCAGCAACATGACCACCTCAAGCATTGAAGTCACCCAACATGATGACTCTATCCTGAGGGGCCACTTTAGCCAGCACCTGTGACAGGAGGTCATAGAAGGCATCTGACTCATCGGCCTTGCCTACATCCCTCCACTGATGTTCGTCTTCGGTGGGGGCATAAGTAACCACGACCACCACTCCTCGCTTCTGATTTATCCGAAGGCGAGCCCAAAGTAGCCTGGGGCTTACAGGTTCTCACGCCTCACCGCCACGCCCCCATGCCCCCTTCATTATTTTGTTCAGAAGAAGAGCCACACCCTGTTGTTTGGCAGTCTCCTGCCCCGTGTATAGGACTGTCCACACCTCACATGTACACACGCACATATACAGACACACACAAACATACAGACACACACACAAACGGACAATGGGTGTCCCAACCTGGATTCACGAAACATCATCAAAGTCAATCCACCGTCCGCCTTTCTGCCTTTCTCAGCTGGGCCAGGGCGGTGGCGTCTTCTGCCTGGGCACGGACAGGAGGTGGTACCTGACAGGCATCGACAGCCACCGTGCCGACTGTGCAAACGCCACCCAGCCGGCCGCCTACGGGCGCGTGTGGAAATCCCTCGCCTGGATCGAGGGGAACCTCCCTTACTGACGACGGCGAAGCGCCTCTGGCTCTGCTCTCAGCCGGATAACCGGATAGCTAGCCAGCCAGATATCCAGATAGCAAGTTAACCCAATAGCCAACTAGCCAGATAGCTAGCCAGCCAGATAGCCAGATAGCCAGCTCGCCAGATAACCGGCTAGCCAGCCAGCCAGATATCCAGATAGCAAGTTAACCAGATAGCCAACTAGCCAGATAGCTAGAAATCCAGATAGCCAGATAGCCAGCCAGCCAGATATCCAGATAGCAAGTTAACCAGATAGCCAACTAGCCAGATAGCTAGAAAGCCAGCTAGCCAGATAACCATCTAGCCAGCCAGCTAGATATGCAGATAGCAAGTTAACCAGATAGCTAACTATCCAGATAGCTAGCCAGCCAGATAGCCAGATAGCCAGCCAGCCAGATATCCAGATAGCAAGTGAACCAGATAGCCAACTAGCCAGACAGCTAGCCAGCCAGATAGCCACATAGCCAGATAGCCAGCTCGCCAGCCAGCCAGATAGCTAGCTAGCCAGAGAGCTAGCCAGCCAGATAGCCAGCTAGCCAGAGAGCCAGATGACCAGCTAGCCAGCCAGACAGCTATCCAGATAGCAAGTTAACCAGATAACCAACTAGGCAAATAGCTAGCCAGCCAGATAGCCAGATAGCCAGCCAGCAAGACAGCCACATAACCAGTTAGCCAGCCAGCCAGATAACCACATAGCCAGTTAGCCAGCCAGTCAGATAGCCACATAGCCAGCTAGCCAGCCAGCCAGATAGCTAGCTAGCCAGCTAACCAGCTAGCCAGGCAGACAGATAGCTAGTTAGACAGATAGCCAGCTAGATAGACAGCTAGCTAGATACCCAGCCAGCTAGACACCCAGCCAGCTAGATAGCCAGCCAGCTAGATAGCCAGCCAGCTAGATATCCAGCTAGCTAGCTAGATATCCAGCCAGCTAGCTGGTCAGATAGCCAGCCAGCTAGCCAGCTAGATAGCCAGCTAGCCAGCTAGATAGCCAGCCAACTAGATAGCCAGCGAGCCAGCTAGATAGCCAGCCAGCTAGATAGCCAGCTAGCCAGCTAGATAGCCAGCCAGCTAGATAACCAGCTAGCCAGCTAGATAGCCAGCCAGCTAGATAGCCAGCCAGCTAGATAGCCAGCTAGCCAGCTAGATAGCCAGCCAGCTAGATAGCCAGCTAGCCAGCCAGCTAGTCAGATAGCCAGCTAGATAGCCAGCTAGCCAGCTAGATAGTGAGATCGCTACAGGCCTACAGCTACCGCTATCGCTGTCGCTCTTGGGAGGAGAGAATGAAGTTACCATTTTACTATATTTTTTAAATAATATATTTACATATATATCATGTCAATATATTTATGAATCTTCTTCTTTGCCTTTTAAGGGAAACGTATTGTGGCTCGAGTTAAACCTCCAATTTCCTTTCGATTTTTATATGCTTAGTTCTTTCGGTAAAGTCACGTTGAAGGGAAACAATAAAATAATAAAATATATATAAAACAATAAAAAAATTCTCACGACGTTTCGACCATCTTGGCTTTTGTGGCACGGACGATCGGTGACACTCACTGACGTCACGCACGAGCGGTGACACTCACTGACGTCACAGACGAGCTGTGACACTCAACGACGTCACGCACGAGCGGTGACACCCACTGACGTCACGCACGAGCGGTGACACTCACTGACGTCACGCACGAGCGGTGACACTCACTGACGTCACGCACGAGCGGTGACACTCACCGACGTCACGCACGAGCGGTGACACTCACGGACGTCACTCGCGAGCGGTGACACTGACGTCACACGCGAGCGGTGACACTGACGTTGCGCGCGAGCGGTGACACGGACGTCACGGACGAGCTGTGACACTCACTGACGTCACGGACGAGCGGTGACACTCACGGACGTCACTCAGTGTGGGGTGTTTTTTTCGCAGTGTAAATTTTGTGGTGATGCACACAGACAAAGCTCCCCCAGGTAGCCTCTAGCAGGGCTGTAGGGGCAAGTGCTGCTAGTGGTGAGTAGCACCACCTATGATGTACACACGGACAAAGCTCCCCCAGGTAGCCTCTAGCAGGGCTGTAGGGGCAAGTGCTGCTAGTGGCGAGTAGCACCACCTATGATGCACACACAGACAAAGCTCCCCTAGGTAGCCTCTAATAGGGCTGAAGGGACAAGTTCTTTAGTGAGCAGCAGCACCTATGAAGGCTGGCAACTATGGCTACACATGAGGGGGTGGGTGGCCGCCTTTGTCTCCCTAGTGGCGATGTTTTACACACCGCACCAGGTATTCGTTTGAGGCCGAGTCGACCAAGGGGAGGCCCAGGACTGGTGCAGATAATCGTCTCCGGTGTTGGCCGGGAGAAAGACTCGAACCCGGGTCAACGGGTTCGTAGCGCAGCGTAGCGATAACCACTACACCCACCACTCCCTACACAGACACACACACAGTTATACACACGTACACAATACACAGGTACACACACACACACACGTACACAACAACAACAACAACCGCCATTCGCCACTAAGTGGCGGTGACGTCACCACGACGCTTGTGCCAGGCTATGTGCACCCTGAGGCCACGTGAAGTGTCGAACGCCCGCTGGCAGGAGGTCACGGGGCAGACCCAGGTGCCACGGGTCGACTGACTGAGATGACTGGCTGATGCACCACCTGTGCCCCCTACTGTGCCAACCTGCTGTGCTTTAGCCACCCGGCGCTCCGCTCGCTGTTGTGAGCGTCGCTCCTCCGCCCTCCGTTGTTGTTGGAGGGCGACTGCCTCCAACTGCCCAGTAGCATCCTTCACGAGCCTCCTCCACAGAGGCCGATCTTGACACCGCTGGTACCAGTCATCGGCAAGTCCACTCATCTCCACGTCCTCCTGTACCACATCACTCCATCTCTTCTCTAGCCCGTGCCGCGCCCGCTTAGCCCCCTCAATCCGGCCAAACAAAAGCTGTTTCGGCATGCGGTGGCTGGGCATGCGGGCTACATGACCCAGCCATCGCAGCCTTGCCTGCCGGAGGAGCTCACCGATGGGACCCTGCCCAGATCTTTCAAGGATTTGTGAGCTCCTCACACAATCCAGTCTGGTTAAACCCAGGATGGATCGTAGGCAGGCCAGCCTAAATGTTTCTAACCGGCGAAGATGTTCCATTAGGGGGGTCCACGCTTCGCAAGCATAGAGAAGGGAGGGAATGACCGTGGCCGAGAAGACCTGAAGCTTAGTGCGGAGCGACAGACCAGGTAGCTTCCACACAGCGTTACGCAACCGATGAAAAGATATTGTCGCTCGACTGATTCGGAGTGAGACCTCTGCTGTTAAACTGGAGCCAGTCATAAGCACACTGCCCAGGTATGGGAAACTCTCCACTCTCTCCACAACTGCCCCATCACCGATTGGGAGTTGTGGGGGTGGAGTGTCCGATGGTACAAAATACCCAGGCAGGTGCTTAGTTTTGGTGGGGCTGATGGTAAGGCCCCACCTCTTAGTGGCATGCTCCAGTCTCAGCAGCAGCGTCTCCAACTCCTCCTCTGACTGAGCAGCTATTACCAAGTCATCAGCATACATAACGTGGTTGAGCAATAGGGAGCCATCCCTTGACCGCACCCGGGCATCGATTAGCCTCCCATTATATCTGTACCATATGGAGATTCCCCCGGTACAGCTATTGAAGGCTTCACGAACTACGTGGTCAAAATAGATGTTAAATAATGTGGGAGCAAAAGGACATCCCTGTCGCACCCCAAGGTGTACAGGGAATGGCTCTGACTCCCGGCCACGTAGTTTTACCCGGGCCCGCTCACCATCATGAAGGTCCTTAATGATCGTGAGCAGAGGGTCAGGTACTCCAAAAGCACGAAGAACGACCCAGAGCCCAGGCCTACTGATGGTATCATAGGCCTTGACCAGGTCAATAAAGCAGAGATGTAGGTCTTGTTGGAATTCCCTACACCTCTGCTGTAGCAGACGGACAGAAAATATGGCATCTGTGCAGGACCGCCCTTTCCTGAAACCGCATTGGGGCTCCGCAAGCCTCTCCTCAGCGTGCCTGGCAAGGCGATGCTGAATAATCCTTGCCAGGACCTTTCCCGGCACACTGAGGAGTGAGATGCCCCTGTAGTTGTTACAGTCTGTGCGGTCCCCCTTCTTAAAAAGGGGGACCACCAGGGCATCCTTCCAATCCTGCGGAACCCGTCCAGTGGTCCAGACTGTTGTTATGATGTCATATAGGGCAGTCTGTGCACAAACGCCACCCTCCCTCAGCATTTCGCTTGGGAGATCATCTCTGCCCCGCTGCCTTTCCTGGTCTCAGACTCCGGATCGCCTTCAATACTTCCTCAGCAGATGGCACCTCAGCCAGCCACTCACAGGGGGTGACTTCATCCAATATTTGAGGCACCGCAGCCTCAGCAGGGTCATCCTCACTTTGTGCCGCGATGTTTTCCTGGCTGAGGGATTTTCCCTCCCCCAGGACCTCACAGAAATGCTCAGCAAATCTGCGAACCTGTTCCTGGGGGTCGGAAATTGGATCACCGTTTTTTCCCCTAATGATGGTAATAGGTGTGGCGCTGCAGGTTACTTTTTTGATGGAGTTAAATAGAGATTTGTGATCACGGGCCACTGAGGCAGACTCCATCTCCTCAGCAACCCGCGACCACCACCCATCCTTGCAGCGCCTCACGGCTCTCCGAACCTCCGAGCGAAGGCTGCGGTAAGCCTCCTCATTCTCTGACGTGGGATTCTGTAGCCGATGACAGTGGGCCTGTCGCTTTTTCTCAACCATCCTGAACAACTCCTCTGTCATCCAGGGTGTCTGGGGAGGTCTGGACCGCGTACCCAAAGCAGCCATTGCAGCTGCATGAGTCACAGTCCTAAACCTCGCCCATTTACCCTCGACATCAGGAGGAGTCGGGGACGATGCCAATCCCAGCCGCAAGCGATGATGAAATTCTCGCTTGCAACTTTCATCAGATAACTGAGACCAGGCCACTTTAGGTTGGAATGCGGTCCTGGGTGTACACCCACCACCGGAGTGGAAGAATGGCAGGCGCATCTTACAGATGACTAGTCGATGGTCAGAGGGCAGATCAGCTGCACGGTAGGTCCTGGTGTCAAGGACATGGGCTCGCATTCGCTGGTCCGTCACTATGTAGTCCAGCAGATGTTCTTGCTTGGACCCGGCATGCATCCATGATGTTGTGTGGATGCGCCGATGCCGGAACAGCGTGTTGGTAATTACAAGCCCATGGGCTGCACAAAAATCTAGCAGCCTCCTACCGTTGTTATTGAGCTGATCTGGCCCATGCCCTCCAATCACTCCAGACCAGGTGCCAGTATCATGACCAACTCGGGCATTGAAGTCACCCAACATGATGACTCTATCCCGAGGGGCCACTTTAGCCAGCACCTGTGACAGGAGGTCATAGAAGGCATCTGACTCATCGGCTTTGCCTGCATCCCTCCACGGATGTTCATCTTCGGTGGGGGCATAAGTAACCACGACCACCATTCCTCGCCTCCGGTTGATGGGAAGGCGAGCCCAAAGTAGCCTGGGGCTTACAGCTTCCCACACCTCACCGCCACGCTCCCACGCCCCCTTCATTCTTTTGTTCAAAAGAAGACCCACACCCTGTTGTTTGGCAGTCTGCTGCCCCGAGTAGAGGACTGTCCACCCCTCATGGTGGCAGGAGCCAGAGCCGGTCCACCGGACCTCCTGAATGCCGCATAGATCCAGGCGGTACCGGTCCAGCTCCCGACAGAGGAGTGGCAGCCTCTCCTCTGCAGTGAGCGTTCGAACATTCCACGTGGCCAACCGTAGTGGCTTTTCGTTGTTTCTGGAGTAGCCCCGAGGGTAGGTATTCAATC